CCTCCTGCGGCCCCGCTCCGAGCCCTTTGTGGTACCCCGAACCCATGGGCCGTGCCGGGTCCCTCGCCAGAGACGCCACCCAGCAAGGGCTTGGCAGGGGACACGCTGTTCGAAATAGCACATGCCACTGACACCCTGTCTGGGTAGGCTGGGCCCTGGGGAGGGCTCGGTTCGGCTGGGAAGCTGCCCCTTTGCCTGTCGCCCTGCCCCCAAACAGTTGCTGGGAAGCAGCTGTCGGGGGTGAGCGGGGCCGCCCCCACCTGCCAGGACACTGACTTCATTCCCCTCCGTGGCAGCTTCGCCCCGTCTCGGAGCTTCCTTTCAACACAGGCGGCCCTGGGATGGCCGCTGCGTGTTTGGATCAACTTTAAAAGAAGCCTTCCCCCACCTCTGTCTGCATGGCTCCCCGTTGCTGCCTCCCCTGCACCCTCTCGGCTTCTGGCCAGGCTTCTAATAGTCACCAGCAAGCATGGATGAGCCATTCTGTGCCAGGCGCTGGGGAGCTCGAGAAAAGTTAGTTGTCAGGTCGGGACCAGGAGGTGCTCAAAGCCTAAAGGGGAGGCAGGCGTTTAACCCGTTAAACCCGCTGCAGTGTAGTGGGTAGTATATTGAGTTTGTGTACTGCACATTCCTTTGCTTTGTTTTTTCTATTTTCTGTTATTTTTTCTCTTTGTGCTGTCCCCGCCACGCCTGTAGGTGTGCGCAGTGTACCGAATTCCTGCAGAGCCAGGCTCGCTCCCTGCAGTAACTCGTGGCCCCGCTTAACCCCGGTGAACATTGGAGGAGACTGGACCTCAGATAAAGTCATAGGCAGGCGATAGTGGCTTCTAGTTTGTGGCAGAATTGAGCCTGGGACCAAAATGGAGGTACACTTCCAGGGCTTTGCCTGGAGTATACTTTTCCCTGAACTGCCGACACTGGTTCCGCATCAGAAGTTCCCTAGGAGCTCTGGAAACACAAGTTTGACCCTTCACGGGGAGAGTCGGGGGTCGTTGGCCCCGGTGGCACAGACCCCCTGGCTGTGACGGGTCCACCGGCCATTCTGACGGGCGGCCTGAGCTGAGAACCACGGCTGCCCCCCAGGATGAGGAAGTCAGGGCCCGAGGAGGCACGAAGTCAGCGCCCTCCTGCCCCGTGGTGATTCATAGTGTGAAAGAAAACCAGCCAGAGGAAGGAGCCACCCTGCCTGTCGGCAAACCACACCTAAACGTGGGGAGCTTCCCACCGCCATGGCTGACGGAGCCGTCCCCCCTCCGCTGGGTTTCCCGGCCCTCCCCCAGCCACAGTGCAGTGGCCTGAACAGCAGCGGCAGGTCTGGTCCCAGAGTTGTGCTGTCCTCACCTGTTGCTTGGTACAAACCCTGACCTGTAAGCCCAGCGGGTGGGGTGGGTCACCTGGTGTGTAGCCTTGTCCTGGGAGTCTGGGTGCCCTCTCACTCTGAGCTTGTTGATATTGGGGAGACCTTTCAGTGCCTTGAGGGCAGGGGCCATGTCTTACGGGTGCAGCGCGAGGGTGTGGAATGAGCAAAAGGGCATCTGGAGTCAAGTCCCAGTTCTGCTTTGCGAACTTGAGCAAGTCACCTGACCTCCCTAAGCATGGTGTTCTGAGTAAAATGCGGGGAGTAGCAGTGCCTTATAAGGTAGTTTTAGGAGTTGAGTGGAGTGGTGGGCTCACAAGCACTTTGTAAATTATAAAGGGACACGCACCATGCATGCGTGTGCACACACAGTTTGTGCTCGGGGATGCCTGCTAGGTGAGGCCGGCCGCTGCAGGAGGTGAAGCCGAGTAGACACACTTCCCCTCAGAGCCGAGGCTGCTCCTGCCCTTGACCGTGGCCTTCTTTAGCGAGAAAGTGTGTGACTGAGCCGAGGTGAGGCGGCAGATGGTGAGGGGTCAGGTTCTTGCCGCCTGGGATTAACCTGGAGGAAAAGACGGAGACTCCTATTAAAACAGAAGAGACGGAGCAGCCAGTCCCCTGCACGCTTCTCTGCGCAGGACGCGCCCCAGAGTCCCGTTCAGGTTCCCGGCGCCCCTCAGAGGCCAGTCGCGGGCCACGGCCTCGCTGCGGAGGGTTTATTTCAGGGTCCCCCGGCTCCCTCAGGGGGGGCAGGTGGCCGCTTTTAAGCAGAGGCCAGGGCAGAACTCAGCAGGCTGCCACGGGGGAGCAACTCATGTCTCCTAGGATGGAGAGGTGACATCTGATTCCTGCTGGTGGAGCTCCTGGGATATAGGATCCCACCCACGACAGCAGGCCTGCCCTTTAGTCCCGGGTGCCGGTGACCCAGATAGCTCAGGAGCCGCCAGCTTTCCTCGCCTCGGACCACGGCAGGCAGCACCATCTGCTTCCTGATTTGTGCCAGGAAGAGTAGAAGGCTTCCCAGCCTGGGGCCGTCCCTCGGGAATTGCACACTTCGCAGCCCTGCTTGGTCCCACAGGCCTCGGGAGACTTCAGCAGCGGTTTCAGGGCCAGGAAGTGCCCGAATTCGATATTTTTATAGATAACCCTTTCTCGAACCCTCTTCCTCCCCACAAAGCAAGGAAGGGAACGTCCTCGGTCCCCTCTCCTCCATCCTGTTGGCTCTGATTTCGGGCCAGCTCTCTGCCTGCCCCTGGCTGCTCCTCCCTCGGCCGCCCGGGCTTAGCCTCTGAGTCCTGGGAATGCCCTGGAGCTACAGGTTCCTCTCGGGCCTGGAAGGGGGCTGATTGACATCTCTCGAGCATGGCGGCCCAGAGATGTTGGTGCTGAAAACGGTTCTTGGCCGATCCTCCCTGCTGCAGTGAGTCAGTGCTTGCTGGGCCCTAACTTGCCTGTAGCATCACGGAACACGACATGGAGCACAGAACCCAAGGTGGTGAAGTGACTTGTCATCACTAAGTCACGGAGATGATTGATAGACGCCTACTCCCTTTTAGCTTCCGGATAACCTGCTGTGTGACGTTCTGTATCACTTCTGAAACGTATGTTGGCGGCCATGTGGCAGGGAGGTGTCTGCTGTCAAATGTACCTGGATTCAAGTCCTGGCTTTTCTATTTAATAAATTAATTAATTTTAATTTATTTCAGGGAGGAAGGGTGAGGGAGAGAGAGATAAAAACATCGATGATGAGAGAGAATCATTGATCGGCTGCCTCCTGCATGCCCCACACTGGGGATCGAGCCCACAACCCGGGCATGTGCCCTTGACCGGGAATCGAACCGTGACCTCCTGGTTCATAGGTTGACGCTCAACCACTGAGCCACACTGGCTGGGCTTTTCCACTTCTTTATTTTTAAATTATTCTCAACTGAGGATATTTTTCCATTGATTTTTAGAGAGTGTGGAAAGAAGGGAGAGGGAGAGACAGAGAGAGAGAAACATCAATGTGAGAGAGACCCGTTGATTGGTTGCCTCTCGCACTGACCCTGACTCCGGTGAGGGATTGAGCCTGCAACCGAGGTACGTGCCCTGGATCAGAAATCGAACCCGAGACCCTTCAATCCCTGGGCCTATGCTCTAACCACTGAGAGCAGGACTGGCCAGGGCTCCTCCCCGGCCCGGGCCCTGGTTGCGGCGTGTGCAGGAGGCAACCAATCAATGTGTTTCTGTCACATCGCTATTTCTCTCTGTCTGTCCCTCTCTCTTCCACTCTCCCTAAAAATCGATGGAAAATCCTCGGGTGAGGATTAGCAAAAAACCAAAAAAGATTAGATGAGATAGGTGGTGCAGGGTTAGCTTTTTATTTTTTAATTATTTTTTAAAAATATTTTTATTGATTTCAGAGAGGAAGAGAGAGGGGGAGAGAGAGAGAAACATTGGTGATGAGAATCATTGATCAGCTGCCTCCTGCACGCCCACTACTGGGGATCGAGCCTGCAACCCAGGCATGTGCCCTTGACCAGAATCGAACCCGGGACCCTTCAGTCCGCCGGCCGACGCTCTATCCACTGAGCAACACCGGCCAGGGCAGTTTTCTATTAGGAATAATATCTTTCCTTCAAGGTGGTGCTCTCACCCTTTGCCTCCATGGTGGCTGGGGAGCAGAGGGCCTTCTGAGTCTGGGGTCTCGCCTTCGCACGGTGGAGTCCCCGGGAGCTTGTGGTCTGCGCCTCGGCACCTCCAGGGGACGCAGCACCAGCCCTGGCGAAGCTCCCGGTGACCCCAGGGAGCAGCCGCATTGCAATCCGCTGTGTTGTCTGCACCCCAGCGAGTCTGTGATGCGAGAGCGGAAGCTTAGGTTCAAATCCCGGCCTTTCCACTTGGCAGGGACCCTGGGCTCACACTTCCCTCCTGTCTCCTCCTCTGCACTGACAGGGCGAGGAGGCCAGCGCCCTCCCGCGATGGCCCTGCAGAGCCCGTGCGTGATCTTCCTGCGCGAGCAGAAACCGAGCGCTTTCTTGATGATGTTATATGGGGGTCATCCTGTGTGTGCGCTGTTTTTAAGTTGTTTTTATATTAGCTTTGTCTTAAGTCGATTATAATCTCCATGGGAACAAAGCCTTATAGACTTATTATTTTTTATGCCCGAAGCAGCTAAGACACAGCCAGGCTTTCGGACGTGTAGAGCTGGAGTGAGGGTGAGAGAGCGCGCTCATCCCCCTAAGGCATTGAGCAATGCTCACGGTTAGTTAATATGCGGGGTAAGGGGTGTGAGAGGGTGAGAGGGAGGAATCCCAGAATCGGAGGGTTGTGCCCAGCCTAAGCTGCCAGTCTGCCTTTCTCCACTGACGGGAGGGCGAGGGGTTCCGCGGTGGCCACAGCGGGTTTCCCTGCCGGCTCCCTGCTCACCCTGTGCTTCTCCCCCCGCAGACCCGTCATGGCAGGTTCAGGCAGCACATGGCCATCTCGCAAGCAGCTGTTCCAGGCCCTCCTGCTGGTCCTCGTCCTCCTCCACTCAGCGTTGTCCGAACCCTCCCGGGACTTCGTGCCGCCCGGCAGGCAGAAGAGGGAGGTCCCCGCCGACCTCCTGAGCCAGATGGGCCGGGCCGTGCGGGGGACGCTGGATGCCTGGATCGGGCCGGAGACCATGCACCTGGTCTCTGAGGTGAGGGAGGTGGTCCCTGCTGGGACCGCACACACCGAGGAAGACACAGGAGGAGATACAGGAGGAGACGTTGGCGGCCACTCTGTCTCTCTCGCTCTGCGTCCTGCGTGTCATAACCCTTGGTGGCCTTAGAGTCCACACGATGAAGCAGACATACCTGCCTCTAGCGCTCCCATTGGTTGAATTCCACCTGAAGGCCCTTAGTTCCACCCCGGTCTTTCCTTTGTTCCTGCCTTTCTGGCCAGAAAGGCTGGGAAAGGAGCCATCTTTACAAACCCATGTCACCAGGTCACTATAGAGTCTACATGTGACCTAATGTCGTGAGTTGGCACATCAAGACCTGTATCATTTCTTCACCGTAGAGGTGGGGGCGGGGCTGGCTCAGGGGCTTCAGGCAGGGCTCTCTCCCCCACCTAATGGGATCTGATGCTTCCCCCACATACAGCCACTTCCACAGCACAGTGTCCCAGCAGGTCCGCGGAGTCAGGGCCCAGGAAGGAGGAGCAGCCTGCTGGCCAGGCCCGCGCACTGGGAGGGACCCCCAAGGCCCGGGCGGCAAACCCTGGCTGAGCAGCGGGTGGGAGCCGGTCCTGCGGGCCCAGCCTGGACTGGCAGCGAGGCTTGGAGAGGAGCCTCACTAGTTAGGGACCCATCTCTCCACAGACCACGGCTCAGGTGCTGGGGACCATCTCCTCCTGCCTCTCCGTGGGCTTCTTCGCTCTGTCGGGCATCGCCGCCCAGCTGCTGAACGCCTTGGGGCTGGATGGTGAGTGGCAGGGACTGGTGGGTCAGCTGGAGCCTGGCCCATCACTTCCTGTTGGTGGGAGCTTATCTTTTCAGGGTCTAAACTGTCCCCCAGCCTCCTGCCCCCTCCCAGGGTTCCCCAGAGGCCAGCTTAATAGCAGGCCAGAGACCGCCGCCACCTGCCGGTCAGCCTCCTGTCGGAGCAGCGCCTGCTCAGCCATAGCATCTCCTTTAACAGCCCAGGAATCACTCCCATTTTGTAGATGAAACTGGCTCAGCCAAGGCAAGTGGCCTGCCCAGGGCGGCAGGAAGCGGAGCGAGATTCAGGCTCCCGTCCCTACGTCTCTGTGACCCTGTGGGAGGGGATGTTTTTCCCTTTGCAGGGGGGTTTAAGTCCTCCCTCTCTTTGGGTTTTATCCCCCCCCCCCGCTGGCCCATCACCACTGCAGGCTGCCTGATCCTGTGACTCTTCCCCCTCAGGAGATCACCTCACCCAGGTCCTGCAGCTCAGCCCCAGCCAGGTGCAGACCTTCCTGCTGTGGGGCGCGGGGGCCCTGGTGACCTACTGGCTGCTGTCCCTGCTCCTCGGCGTGCTCTTGGCCTTGCTGGGGCGGATCCTGTGGGGCCTGAAGCTGGTCTTCTTCCTGGTCGGCTTCGTGGCCCTGGTGCGGTCAGTGCCCGACCCTTCCACCCGGGCCCTGCTCCTCCTGGGCTTGCTGACCCTCTACGCTCTGCTGAGCCGGCTCACGGGCAGCCGGGCCTCGGGGGTCCAGCTGGAGGCCAAGGTCCGAGCGCTGGAGCGCCAGGTGGAGGAGATGCGCTGGCGGCAGAGGCGAGCGGTCAAGGGCACCCGGGGCCTGGAGGAGGAGTGAGAAGGACGCCCGGCACCTTCGTCGTCTTCGTACCAAAGAGCTGAGCTGCTTCTGGGCCGCTGGCCCTCCTTCCAGCCCCTGCCCCTCGCTTGCCCTGTCTCTGGACCCTCAGGACTCTTACCTCTGCCCCAGCCCCCCAGCTGAGCGGGAGGGAGACCCGTCCCCTGCTGGTCCTCTGACCCCTTTCTCTGCCCCTAGCCGTCCCCGCAGGGCGGCTTGG